TGTCAGTTCTCCAGTACATCAGAGAAGAAACATGGCCAGCTGAGCCAATTCTATTTTATTGTAAGGATACATTAAGAGAATCTTGCAAGTCTAAAAGTCTTCTGCAGCTACTTGGCCCGTGGGGGTGGGGGTGCGGGGTGTCTTTCCTGTTTGTTCTCTGCTATTAAACAACCGTGGGCTCCCTCCTTTGTTGTTCAGTTGTTTCCTATTGCTTCCCAGGCAGCATCTCCTTTCCTCTTCCCTCAGTATCTGTTCTTGGAAGTTGTACAAGCTGGTGTCTTGCTTCACTATATGCCAACTTCTTTTATGTTATTTAAATGATAATATATTTAAATATAATTAAAATACAATTGGGGGGGGAGAGGATAGAATTGCCTAAGGACAATTAATACCATCAGGTTGCTATATCTACCTTAGAAATCAGAGATGCTCAGTACCTATAGGTTTAATCATTAAGATTTGGGTTTTAATCCCACAAGCATCCTTATGCTCTTCTTCGCACAAGTTTCTCTAAATCTTTTTTAAAAGTATAGATATCAATATGAGTTCTGGCCAATGGAGAAAAGAGAGGGACTGTTGCTTTCAGTGATTTGGAAACAGTCTCTCTACTGATACAGTAAACATTATATATGCATTTGTAATAGTCATTGCTAACTTATGTTAGTTTGTGGAATCAACTACAGTTTCAGGAACATGATGTAGTGAAATCAATGGCTAAAAGGAAGGAGGCCTTGATGGGAGGGAGTTAAGATACATTTCAGGTTGGACTCTATTAGGTGGAAGGATGTGTATGAAGTCAAACACTTAAGTCTATATCTGGCTTTCTAAGGAGAAAGCAGGCAAGATTCTTGTGTACAGGCAAGTCAACAATAAAGAAACCTCTTCATCTAAGCCTCTGAGCTACTTCAGTTGTTTGCACCTGACAATATTCACACGCAATATTTCCAAAGCTTGTATCTACATCCTATATTTGGGCATCTGGTTTCTTTTCCCTAAGAATCTAGGCATTTCACTCAGATCTGGCAAATTTGATAAGTATTCCTTCTGAGTTATTAATGAAATATTAATGATTGCCAGATCCAGAATATAGAAAGGATCCAGAAAAGCTTCCCACTTCCTCTAATTAATGCTATTTACCTGAACCAGTAAGCCAGCTTTAGTCTGGAGTAATACCACTTCATCTGGATTGTGCGTGCTGCCTCTCTTTGTAATCAACAAGCTCAAACTTGCCTATATTAACAAGGTGTTGGAAAAGTCTGCCTCTTTCAGATATAAGCAGTGGTCTTGTAATTCTCCAATAACACCTCCCCAAATGACTAGGATGCAAGTGCACCCAGGATCAGAGAAGAGTTATTCTGACATAGTTTAGGAAGTATGTCAGAAAACTATTTTGAGAGTCTGCAAATTAGGAGGGAGGGGGAGAAAAACATCCTTGATTCCAAAGCTGCCTCTGGAGTGTTTCAGTTAAATTTGCTCAAGAGAAAACATTCATCATATCCATTGATAAAATGTTCCTTGAGCCATTCTAGAAAATTATTAAAGAAGACAAAAAGAATTCTAAATAGGCTTTGAAAAATGGTATTTATCAAAATGAAGAATTCAGCAATTCTACAATCTCCAATCTAGTGAAAGCCCATACATTTTAATTTTATTAGGCTAATCATATAATTATAATATCTTGGGCCATCTCCCTTTTAGTTTCACAATAATCTCTATGGCATTGATAGGCTAGATGGATAGCATTTGTACTGGTTTAGAAACAACTACAGTCAATGCAAATATAGTATAAGGTAGTTTTGAAAGCTGAATTGATTTTTCTTGCTGCAATGCAGCTTTTTGAAGTCAGAGTAAAACTGTTGATTTCTTTGCTGTTCCCTAATTTTGTTGAGCTTTGGGTGGTCTATTTTCCCTTTGGAGAGTGTTTTTGATTCATGAACTGAAATTAGCCTCCTTCTCTATATAGGAAAACACAATTCAGCTGCTGCAGATTCATAGTAAACTATGCAAATCTAGCAGAGGGATAAATTAGTTTTCAGCTTTCTACCAAAGAAACCACCAATTTCACAAACAAAAAGGTATGAATAGGGAACAGCAATAGCAAAATGTTTCTTATTCTGCTTAAATGGAAGAATAGGAGTTATAGCTACTGGATGGCAATGATTTGGCACTAGATACTGGTTACAATTTTTTATATTGAACACATGGAAGGAATACTTCAATGTTCTCAGTGACTACTAATCAGCTTCATTATGCTATTGGGGGGGGGGGAGAGAGATGAAACAACTGCAGTGTGAAAGCACCCTCAGAGATGGTGAGTTACATCAAATGAACTTGGTGGCTGCCCAGCAAATCTTTAAAATTCTACCCTTTGTGCCTTAGGCTGGTCTTCTGAGGAGCATAATGAAATATGTGAGAGTTTGGGCTGGTAGTTGAGGTGCCAGGTTAAAGTTCAGGAGACAGTGAGTTTTACTTCCATCCTAGGCATGAAGCCACCTGGGTGACCTTGGGTCAGTCACTTTTTCTCAGTCCTATGGTAGGAAGAAAGCAAACCACTCCTGAAAAATCTTGCCAAGAATCTGCAGAGTCTTGTCCAGGCAGTCATCAAAAGTCAAGAACTGGTTTGAAGGTGGATAAAAATGCCAAATCCAGTCTAAACATCAGACTGATTGTGCAATAATCCATAATAATATTACTATAAGGCAGCTCTGATTTTTATCCTTACTGTAAACTATTATTTGAAACAAAACTATATATTACATGCATTTCAACATTGTGTTCTGCAGTATCAATCAACAACTGGGCAATATCTAAATGTGTAAGGACTGTAACTGTTCAATTTCCCTACCAGCTAGTTAAGAGTCCTGAGAGTTGCAGATCCAACATCCCATTGAGAAAATGTATGTCTCTGACGAACTGATATTTTTTTTAAAATGTGCATTTCAGATTGCAATTGGTGGCACATTCTTCAATCTAGTACTAAAAAAAACATTTAGTTTTAAATAATGTATGGCAACTTGAGAGCCAAGGTAAGTGTTGATAAGAATTACATTACAACAAAATTAAGAGGACTACAAATTTCCATTTCTCTGTTAATGCATGTTAATACTTTCCTTAGATTTTATCTACTATAGTGTGTTTCACAGTAGTTACTAATCTGATATATCTCATTATTTATTTATTTTATTTAGCGTATGGCATCTACAGAAGTCATGCAATCACTGATATACAAAATATAATTTAAATAAAGCATCAGCAAATATATACCAACATATTGTGTGTGTGTGTGTGTGTGTGTGTGTGTGTGATATGTGGACAATAGAGATAATAAATTAAGATAAAATCATAATAAAATCACCATAATATGGAGCCATAGAATTGCAATGGGATGGATTTTATGTGACTAGTGTGACTGCAATGAGATTATCCTGTGTGCCTTGAAATTCCTTGAGTAGACATTCTAGAGCTATGTATTTTTATCATTTGTTCTGGTGCATCACAGTCACATTACAGGCTCTTGGCCATTTCCCACTTAAAGAGCTTTTCCCTAGTTCTGGCATGGCCTGTCCTGATTCTATTCAGTGGCTCCACGTTTTTCAGGGAGCTGCATTCCTAGAAGTGATTTTGGTGGATGTGTGTGATCTGTTTGGTTGTGATTATTAAAAGCCACCCATTTTAATCGCCATTTTTCATCTAGATTGTAAGACTGTGATATGTTATTCAAAACTGGTTTCCTAAATTTAAGCCTGGTGAGAGATAGTCTAATATTTTATATACTGGAAGATCTCTACGAGTTGATGAGTTATTTATCTTATTCCACTCTTGAACTGTTTGTTGTTTGTCATCTGAGATTGGGAGAGGCAAAATTAGAAAGAACGTGGAGCCATGAAAGTATGGATTAAAGGATTCCAGATATTATTCTCATTGCATCATTAAAGCAAATGTCAATTTTGTTTATATGACAACTTCTTCCCCACATAGTTGTGCAGTATTCAGCAATATATACTAATGATTGTATAGTGGTAATGTTTTGGCTTGTGCTCCCCCAGCCTGTTCCTGCAATTTTCCTAATAAAGTTGTTTTTAGTTTTCAATTTTAGTCCAATTAATTGAGTAATCATATATGTTACCTGATTGGAAGAGAATATTTCAAAAGGGATCCAGGAATATTACAGCAGGAATCTTTGAAAGTAAATAATTATGTCATATAGTCAGAAGCAACTTTTCCAGTCAACTCAGTAACAAGCTGGTTTTTATAAACTAGTCCTTTTCCTTGTATCATAGAATTGGCAGAAATGGTGTTGTTAGCATGAGCACATGTGTATGCATACATGCTTCAGGCCAAGATGGTTAGGAACTCTGAGGGCTGAAACACATAACTTTCTGAGGATGAGCCTCTGTTCTCTTTCTCAGCTGGCTTTGTTATGATCAATGTTTTATGTTAACATTCATAATCACCTTATGTTAGTTAATTGCAATAGCAGACTGAAGAAGAATCTCAAGTTTAATGAAGAAAAAAATACCCAGATTATCCAAATCTGATACATGTTCCAAATTTGTGTAAGAGATCTATATCAGTTGCCTAGACAAAGATCTGTCCCCAAATATTACTGAAAATATATAGAGAGAGGAGTTATTTTTTTACATAGAAAATTGATATATGTTCTGATTGAACTGAGTAGCATATTCTGAGGCAAGGCCTTGCCAATAATAATTTTTTGAAAAATATTAATACTGCCAGTTCTGACCCTCAGAACTGAAACCCTGCACAGGGCCAAGAAGAGAAGGAGCTAAGCTAGTCTCTACTCAGGTCTTTTAAAAATTAAATTAGATCCCAGTCAGATGTTTTGCTTATATGTACTTAAAGGAAAATAGATCATTTTGTCTTTTCTGCCCTATTCTGAGAATGTTTGTATCATCCAGCTCCTTTTTGTATTTCAGTCAAGTAGAATTTACAAAAGAACAACATTGACAATAGTTAGTGAATTGGGTGAAAAGACTCACCAGTTGGTTTTGATAGGCAGTGACAGCTGTAAACACTGTCTCTGGAAATATAAATGTCCTGAATTCTTCAGATTTCAAGTTAAGCAATGAAGCTGTATGATCCTTCTTTTTGATTATATGCACTCTAGGTTGATATTTGTGCATTGAATTCAATATTATCTAGTGGGGATAAGGAGAGAAAGCATAATCAGAATCATTTTCAATCAGCAAATTATATTGTCTCATCCATAAAAACCGCTATACCAGAAGAAGACATGCTAGATTCCTGGCTAGTAACAGAAGAAACCATGGATCAGTTGAGTTCTGGTTTTTGTCCTAGGCTCACTTCTACCATATGCCAGTTGCCACAAATTAATTCCACTCCATGAGGTTCAGTAAGAAGAAGGATGTTAAAGGTTTTAAAATGGGGGCATTCCTTAGTTTTTGTCACTTAACCAGATTCCCAGCAGGATTTTGGAAGTTACTAGTGTCACATAGCTTCCAAACAAAGAGTAAGATTATTTATACTTAAGTTCCCATTGAAATAAATAACAAGGCAATTCACATTTCTTCATATTCCGTCTTGAGACAGCCAAACATACAGCATTTATCCTAAATTTAAATATGGAGATTGACATTTTACATCAGTGATGCAAAAGGCTTTTGGCTAAGAGTCACACATGGCATGCTGAGGGACATGCTCCAGTATGTGGCAGGATCAAGACAACTATGACTGAGTTTCATCAAACATGGAAACTCCAATGAATGTAATATTATTATTTAATAATATCTCTAGACATCTAATACTTTCCTGCTTCTATCATCCAAGAGAGTGGGCTAAATACAGGTTGCATTTGCAAGTTTTATGTAATTGCAGGTTCCAACATTTAAACTTGTTTTATTGCTTTCAAAACAGATCAAACAAAAAGAAGGTAGGGAAAAACTTTCAGGACAGAAATTCTTAAATAATTAACAGTTAATTGTTACAGATGGTCTAAAAACGGCTTTCAGAGCAGAATAAATACTAAAATATTTTCTGTGGTATAAGATCCTGTTACATGCCCCATCCTCTTCTATCAGTTCATGAAATTTCACAAATTTTAAAGTTTACTTAATAATTACAGGAACAACTATTGTGGTGATTTTGGCATTTCCAACAGTGTGGCAGAAGGAGCCTAAGGTGTACCATTGTTTTTTGTTCTCACAGGACCAAGTACTCACATGACCATGCTGATCTAGCTCATTGTTGGTGAGTTTCACTTTTTCAAAGGATACCATCTGCTTCAGCAATTGTTCTCCAGTAAATGGAGAATCTGGATGCACATACAGCCTGGGAAGCCAAATAACAAAGCTCATCAAGGCCCAGCAAGCAGACAGAGCGACAGAAAGATATACAGATGCTTTTCATAAAACATCAGCACTTAAACTAGTAGCCATCATCCTCAAAACTTTAGTTCAGTTTCCCTAACTATATTTAGACTCTTCTCTTAAATCTACATAAAAGGGAAAAAATAGCCAAAGAACAGATATAAATCTAAATCTAAGATGAAGAACTTGTTAGAAGTAGAGGAACAGGTTTTGTCATAGGATTTTGCAAGATATTTGCTCCAAACAAATGAACTAAATAAAAAAGAACTTATTTTATTATTATTATTATTATAAGTTTAATTTTCTGAAAATTGTCTCTTTGGTTTTTCCATTCTGAATATTATTTTTTTCTTATTCTTTTCCATTGTGACTCATCTTTCCTAATCCTTTAACAATTTCAAATGATGATTTGTCTAAACTGGATAGGAAATACTAGTTTCTTACTTGGAATTGCACGGGGGGGGGAGAGGGTAGATGGAGACTTAAAAAAAATAAATCTTAAATAACAGTATGCTGATATTACAGCTTAGAAAGAGGGGAAGTTACCTGTGTTCGATGAAATCAAAGACATTTCCCTCCAACATACGTATTTCCAACAATGATTACAACCATCTTTCAGTGTTAAAGCACATTCTTGTTATGCTCAAGATGCCAAAGATGACCTCAGGAAACTCAGAGTAAAACTCCAGGAAAGATTCCCGTTATGAATCTGGAAATCTAGCAGTATACAGAAATCTAGCACTAAGCTAGAGGAACCAGTTATCTGACTGTGTTATAATTCTACTATTTTTTTCCATTAATTTGATTATTAAGACATAAATTCTCTGGCCATTCATGCATCAATCTCATAAAATGATAATAGAATAATTTCATATTAGATGATCCAAGAAGGCTTCTTTTACCAGCAATCTGAACAGTGATTGATACATCAGTTTCACAATGGACTTCTGGCACTTTGCATTTCAAAAAATATTGATTTAAAGCCTACATAAAGTAAAATATTTATAGTAAAATATCAATGCATTATTATTCATAAAACTATTATGAAACCAAATACCACTGCTTCTTATGATCCTGATTGAAAGGTGGCTTTTCTGGCATGAAGTGCAATTTTTTTTTTCAGCCAAAAGAAATAATGTAAATTGCAATAGGGTTCATGAAGCAAAAGAATATTTTCTACTTGCATAGTTTTGATCATCTCAAGGTATAGAAAACATTTCATTCCATATTTTTGCTCTGGAAAAATTCTAGATCCATATCCCTGTATGAATAAGGACACAGCATGGCTTACTTACAAGCAAACTGTGGATAAAACTAAGTTGCAGAGTGAATTCCACTGAAATCAACAGGAAATTCTAAATAAATATGACCAACATAAAACAGACCCACCAAGTACTTCATCTACTGGTCTCATCACAAATAAATGTTTCTATTTAAGGCTATTATTTAGAAAGGCTCAGACATATTTTTATCTCTTCGTGAATGCTTAATGTTTCCGTATATGAAGTGTGCTCTCCGCTATCTTTTTGTCCAAATAGACTACACTGTTTCTCTCTCCCTGAAGCTATTCTGACCGAGCTTGAAATAACAACACATAGGTCACATAAGCATTTTCCATTGAGATGCAGGAATTAAAGTGGCCTTCTCCAGATGCCTTCCAATTATGAACTATAGTCACCCTTGGAAAAATAGGTTGAAGCACTGAAAAAAGACAAAACTCAGCCCATAACGTTTACTTTTGCTCCAGCCCACCTAGGTTTTTATGAAGATCAAATTGGGGGTAACAATGAATGTAGTCTTGCATTCATTGGAAGAAAAGCTGGATATAAATGACAGGGTGGGTGCTGAGCTAGCAAGAACCACAGGCGGTGCAGATAGTCCTCAACTTACAAGTATTCATTTAATGAACATTCAAAGTTACAACAGCACTAAAAAAAAAGTGACTCATTACCACTTTTCACGTTTATGACTCTTGCAGCATTCCCACAGTCATGTTACCAAACTTTGGGTGCTTGGCAACCAGCATGTATTTATCACACTGCAGCATCCCAAGGTCCCAGGGCTATCATCTGCAATATTCTTAGGGAGCTTCTACAAGCAAAGTCAATGGGGGAAGCCACATTTGCTTAACAACCATGTGATTCACTTAACTTCAATTATTCACTTAATTATGGCAAAAAAAAGTTGTAAGATGGAGCACAACTTACTTAAAAACAGTCTTGCTTAGTAATGGAAGTTTTGGGCTCAGTTGTGGTTGTAAGTCAAGGACTACCTGTATAGTCAGTGCATAAACAACAAGAAGAGTAAGGTATAGTGATTCTCTCCCCCCCCCCCATTGAGTAATGATTGTTTGTTAGAGCAGTAGCTCAATTTGTACAGCATTCTTATCATGGATTGTCAAGAGCAATGGATTGTTTCTTTCCTTCTAGTAAAAAGTAAACATTCTGAACTTGCATTCAAGCTACAACACAAAACCTCACAAAAGATAGAAGAGATATCAGCAAGTTAATATCCTACAGATGGTACATCTTTCAGATTTTTGGCTGGGTTAATAAGGCTATTTAAGCAATTACTCACAATAGATTTGTTTTCTCTGAAGGAATTTTAACCTTGTGCCTGCACAGCACACTGTACACACAAAGTTGTTTCACATGTTGACAGCAGGAAAAGAAGGATTTAATGGCCGTCTGTGATGAAGCGTTATGAATGAGAATGCTTTCAAATGATGCTGGATAATCCTTATTCATTATAGAGTTTGAAGTTGTAGTGCTGAAAGTTATTTCTCTATAGATGATGCAGAGAATGCTTGAGGGTATGAATGTCACCAAAGCTTACCTACACCGGTGACTTTTTCTTTCTTTCTGAGTGCCCCTTATAGAAGAAATGAATGTACAGGTCCTTCTGAGATCAACAAATGAATTTAATTTCACCAACTTGCAAACCACAATCACCACTATTTCAAAAAATACATTTGGAAGTAAGAGCTTTAGAATCAAAGTTTCAGAACACAGATGGTGATCATGAAAAGGCAAATTCAAAACTGTCAAAGCTTAAGGATAGAGTCTAACTTATTTTTTTCAGTTTAAACCGCTGAGATTTTCAGTTTAATCTGCAATAAGCTCAAGTTGAAAAAGGGACAAACCCATCACACTAAAAATGGTCAAGGCTAGTGCAATCAGAGAACAATCCAAAAGCACTGTTTCTAAGATTTTTTCCTCCGAAGCCTGCATACAAAAACAAACTTATCTATATAATGGTTATGATGGAACTTGTCACAGATGCAGCTCCAAAGACTGGAAGCAAATGTAAACAGTTTCTTAAGATTTCAATATTTATGAAATACATTTTGTTCCTTGCAACTTTCTTCACAATGGATCCTGCCTTGTTCAATAAAGTTTATTCCATAGTAAAGGGACATAAGTAACAGCTTTTCAGGTGTGCTTCTCAGTTGAGATGGAAAAATAACAGAAATAAAATAACCAAAATGTGTGATCTGAAAGATATCTAGAAAAATCCAGCATTTATTATTTTTCCCCCTGAAAAATAAGTCACATATTACAATACAACAAAAATATTAAGAAAAGGACTGAATAGTTGAACAATGGGTTACATCAGTTTCATATTAGACATAGGCCTTTTGTTAGATTAACTTATGCCTAGAGATTTTAAGCATTTCAATGAATGAAGAGTGATAGAAAAGTATATACTGCTTCTGTGTCAGTAGAAACACATTTTGTATCCATAAACACTTTTTCTGTTTATTCATCTCCTGCTGTAATTTTTCTAAAACCAAAGAAACTATTAATAGCAGAGGTGTGTATATGTGCACAAGTGTCTGCATGCATATACATTATTTTCAGGTGAACTAACCTTGCAGGCAGAGGGGGGTCTGCTTTGCCAGCAACCAGCCAGGAAGATCTATGGTAGGCATATCTGTATCTCTTATTGTCCACTGGAACTATATCCATGAGCACAATGAACTTGGCTTCTGGATCCACACCAGAAAAGGAAACCCTAATGGTTGGAAACATCCTTCTGAAACAGAAAAAAACACAATGAAAAAAAGAATAAGAGAATCCTCTCACAACTGATTTAAGAAAAAACAGCCTTGCAGCATGGCCATCAGAGAGAGGGGGGAGGGGGGGAGGGAGGTAATCTTTGTGTTTGGGGATTTTTAAAATAAGCCATATCGCCCTACATTATACACTGCCTGAAAGCACCCCATTCTTGTAAACATTTGGAACTCATATAAAGAGAATGGGATCAGACTGTGTTATAATTGACATATATGTCTGCCTTTGTCTCTTCCTGCCCTCTGAAGGAAACTGCACAAAAGGAAAGGAAGGAAGGCAGGTAAACATCTCAGAAGACAATGAGGATTCTCAAGAATTACAGCCTTTTTCAAAAGAGGAATAATATAATAACTAACTGAATATACAGAGAGTGATTTTGTTGAGAGACAACTTGTGGGTTTAGAACCTAACACTGAGATCAGATGCATTTCACTACACATCTAATTTTATAATACAGAAATAGTTATAACTCTGGACCTTGGATAAATTGCAGAAGCATTAGCCATTTGAGCTTCCATGACATCTGAAGAAAATAATTATTTTCTCTGTACTGCACACATATGAGAAACAATCTTGTGCCAGTAATCCATTATCTTGATTTCCACTTCAGAAATAAAAGGGAAATTTTCAGGAGGTCAGCTAATTTGCACTAGACGTATTTGAAAAAAGGAGAAAAAAGGTGGAAGATAACAGCATTTTATATAGCCAGGCTGGCCACATGACCATGGAAAATGTCTTCGGACAATGCTGACCAAGAAATTGAGATGAGCACCAGGAAATCTTTATCTACCTTAGTAAGGTAACTACCAATATCTGCAATTTCAACTTGATGTCATTAAATACAATTCTCTATTCCACACTCTGCATCATTCAGTGCATTGATGAAGTACAATCCAAACTATTAAAGTTGATGTCATAGCAAATAAAGTCCAATGCTGTTAATGATTAGGGTGACAATTCAACACACCCCATTTCTTTATCTTCCTTTTTCATTAATTAACTTTTAAGCTTCCTTGAGTTTTTATGTCTATTATGAATTATGCCTTTACAGTTGGCAGTGCCAACATGACTTGTGACTCTTGCAGGCCAAAATAATGTCTGGCAGACATTTCTGTGAAGAACATTCATAATTATTTAAAAATTGGTGTATTTGTCTCAAACAACTTGTAACCAAGGTTAGGTTTGGATGTGATGCCAGTATATTTTACAAGAATCTTTCAAGCAATGTCCTCCCAATGTTTTTTTTTTTTAAAAAAACAAGTAAATCTTTTCCATCTGCATCTAATTTATACCTTTAATTTAGTGACTACTTAATGACTACTATAAATGTTTTTTTTAAACAGACAGTTTTCTCCTACCAGTATTAAACATCAGGAAACTGATTACAAGAGACTCATTGTGAGAATAAAATGACAAGGAAATAATTAGTCATTATTCTGAGCCCAGAGAGGAAAATAATGGGGTATTAATAAGATCAGGTAAAGTACTTAGATTGCCTTTCTTTAGTCAGTCTCACTGATTTGCAAGAATGACTGTACCATAAAACAGCATGAAAATAACAGAGCCAAGAACCAGAATGACTTTGTTCTCCCATAATTTAGACTGGGTTGTTTGGTTGTTTTTTCTCGAAGGTCACGATAATGAAAGTAATCCTTATAGGTTTACCATCATATTTAAGACCTAGGGCAATATTTAGTTACTCAGCAGGGTTACAGCTTAAGCTGATGCAGACAATCTAGTGAGAAATAAACAAGTATATTAAGCTGTCCTGCAAATTTCTTTTTTTAAGTTTTTATTGATTTTTTAATATAATTCAAAAGTGCTTATTCAAAAATCATGTTATCTGAGTATATCATTCACTAGTACAAACTGAATCCCTAATCCCTTATTCTTTTCTCCAGCCATTGATAAAATAAGTCCCCAAGTTTGAAAATATTCTGTTTCTTTTTCTTTCAACCTCAAAGTAAGTCTGTCCATTTGTGCACAATCTAGTATTTTTTAATTATTTCTTCCTCTGGTGGTATTTCTTCATTTATTGTGCAAATATGATTCTTGCCACTGTTATCATATGTAAAATCAAGTATATACTTTGTTTGTCAAGTTTTTCTGGCATTATACCTAATCAAAAAAGTTCAGGTTTAAAATCTACATGTTTTCCCAACATCTCTTCTAGTCAAATATGTATTTTTGTCCAATATCTCTTTGCTTTAACACATGTCCACCATACATGATAACATGTATCTGACTTGTGATTACATTTCCAACATCTATCTGAAATTTTTAAATATTTTTGCTAGTCTTGCTGGTAGCAAGTGCCATCTATAAAACATTTTATATAATTTTTCTTTGTAAGAGGTTGACATTGTCAATTTATAATTTGTTTCCCATAAGTTTTGCCATTTCTCTAAATCTATACTATATCCAAAATTCTTTACCCACATTATCATTGTTTCTTTTACTTGTTCATTTTCCATTTTCACATTCAATAAAAAGTTATACATTTTCTTAATTAATTTCTCATCAGAGGTTACTAATATCTGATCAACAAGATCTGCTCCTTATAAAATCCGTATAGTTTAACATCTTTGTCATATCACACTTGCATTTGTAAATATGTCCACCATGATAAATCAATACCCCAATTTTCCATAAATTTTAAGTTCCCTTCAGAGTTTAGAATATCTTTATATATCCATATTTTCTCAAGACTGACTAAATTTGGATGTACAAATGCTTCCATTTTTGAGAGCCATCCTGGAATTTTCAAGTATATTTTACATTTTATTTTTTCCCATGTAAAAAATAATGCATTTCTAATATAGTGGTTTTGAAAATATCTATGAATTTTATTTTTCTCATACCATAAGTAAGTATGAGTTGTAAATCATGTCCCTCCAAATACAACAATCTTTTATTTCTAAGAGTTATCCATTCTTTTACCCATGTTAGTACTAATGCTTGATAATATAAAACCCACCCTGGCAAGCCAAAACTAATTTTCCTTAGCTTCTTGTAACATTTTCAATTTAATTCTAGTTTTCTTTCCTTGCCAAATAAAATTTAAAATTAGAAAAGTTAAGTCTTCAAAGAATTTTTTCCCAGTTTTTTAGGTATCATTTGAAATAGAAACAATATTTTTGGTAATGTATTCTTTTTCACCGTAGCAATTCTTTCTAACATCGATAGTTAGAAGTTTTTCCATTTTTCCAAGTCAAGTTTTATTTGATTCAGTAGTTTTATATAGTTATCTTCTTTTATCGTTGAACATCTTGCTGTCAGATACATTCCCAAATATTCAACTTTTTTGACTATTTATAATTCTATTTTTTCTGACACTATTTTTTGTTTGTTTATCTGTAAGACTTTTAACTATCACTTTAGTTTTTTCTGTTTCTCTTCAGTCCTGCTATCTCTCCAAACTTTTCTATCTTTTCCAATAATTTAGGAATCATCTCTAAAGGATCCTCTAGGATGAATACCAAGTCATCTGCAAATGCTTACAATTTATAAGTTTCACCTTTTATTTCTAGTTCTTTAATTTCTGGGTCTTGTCTAATATTACTATTTAGAACTTCCAAAGTTAAAATAAATAACAATGGAGGACATCCTTGTCTTGTGCCTTTTCTTATGTTGAAATTCTATGTATAATCTCCATTTACAATAACTTTTGCTGTTTGTTTGTGATATATTGTTGTAATCATATTTATAAAATTTTGTCCAAAGTCCATTATTTTTAGTTATTGAGTCATAAATTGCCAGGAAACATTATCAAATGCGTTTTGAGCATCTAGAAATACTAATGCCAATTGTTTCTCTGGATGGATTTTATAATATTCCAATATGTCCATTATAATTCTTAAACTATTTTTTATTTATCTCTTTGATAGAAATCCATTTTGGTTGTTTTTTCTCGAAGGCCATGATAATGAAAGTAATCCTTATACTTTTACCATCATATTTAAGACCTAGGCTAATATTTAGCTATTCAGCAAGGTTAAAGATTAAGCTGACACAGACAATCTAGTGAGAAGTAAACAAGTATATTAATTTCTTTTAGCTCTGAATGAGACTCCTGTATGAAGCAGATTCTAACAGCAGAAGCAAGAAAACAATATAATAAAACTAGTGATTATTCCTTTTACAATGTTATACATTTGGCCTAAACAATGTAAAAACTGTTCAATTTATGTGCAGATTGGAGGGGGAGAATGATAAAAATATTGGCACAGTAGCAGCGTGGCAGAGTCTCTGGTATGCACCAATATTTAATTAACATTTTGGATATGATTCTATGCAGAGTAGAGAGGCTTCTAGACTCTGATGAATTAATTTTTCCAAAGTGAAATATTGGCTTTTCTAGTTGTAAATACAGTATGTATTGAACCATAATTCCTATCATCCACAGATAACATATTTATTTAATCTAAAAGCAACAGGTTTTTATTATCAACTCACCAGTTGAGGCTGAGATGATTAATAGGTCAACCTGTTCTAAGGTCTGGGATGGCTGTTTCAATCTTCAAAACTGTCTCAATTCTCTGTGATTGCAAGACATTAAAAGTAGCTTCTTCTCTGGAAATGGTTTCTGGTAAAATTTTATATATGTATCACCTTCCTCATTTTACAAGGGTTCAATCTAATTAATAAATTAGATTTGTTCCATTAAAATTATGGCTTGTTTTACAAATATTTTTATTTTAGTCACTCTAATGCTTTCATTGAAATGTGCTTTTCTACTTCCAATCTCTTATTAATTTTTATTTTACCCCAAATAAAAATTCAAGTGAAGATTTGCAGTACATATTAATATACCAATGTAGTATATCTCCTCAAATTGAAACATAAAGTAGTGTGAGACAGTTTCTGATGGCTTGCATTATACATTAATGAGAGACAGTAACTTTTTATAGACTGCTATGGGTTATAAGGGCAAATGTCCAATGTATATTTATCACTGTGAGACTTTGATATCAACTGACTATTAGTGCTTGTGTGAAACAGCCATCATAGATCAAAAACAGACCAAAAAAATCATGTTATCTGACAACACTTCAAATGCAACACTTTTCTGTGGGTGGCAATTCATCCATTCAGCTGTGTGTCACTCAGTGCTATGGTGTAATAAAGCAATGACACAGTGAACAAATCAGCACCACTTTATTGTCTGACAAGATTTCTAGCACAGACTGGATGTTTAAATAATGGGAAGGATACATATCTGGCTTCCCTTCCAGGCTTGTTCAAAGACAATTTACCCATTTTAAACTATCTCAGTTTCTTCCATAAAGTCAAGTCAATCCAATTTTCATTAAAATTCAGCTCAAAGCTGACTTCCTCTAGCCATGTGCCTCATACATATCTGAGTGTGCTGCTCCTGGGAACTAGATAAAAATGCTTTTTTAAAAAAAATGTATTTTTTCCTATATTTTTACTGTTTCAAATACATAACTCCATGCAGCGTACAGATCAAGGTCATTATAAAAACAACTGAGCTGCCCAATTACTAAAACAAAAAAGCAGTGCTCTTCTGAATGCTTGGAGTGAGAGGCTTAAATATAGCTCTGCGGCAGCATATTCCATGGTCTCAGGGCAAACAGAGAAATAAACAGAACACACTGCTTATTGTATATCAGCCTGACCTAGTTGAAGCTGAGCTAAAACTACAAATTCCAGAAATCCCAGCAATTGTCACTTTTGCTAAATAATTCTAGAAAATTATTCACACATCTAAATGGTATCAGTTGTGGGTAAGATGCCCCAAACCCTGCCAAGCAATATCCCAGTCTTACCTTCCTGATTTTGTGATTATCATCTCAGTCCCTAGTTCATGGAATTTGTCCCAAAGCTCTTTGGTTTCCAAACTGCAGGAGATTTTAGCCATCTCTTCACTAGGGATAACTGGGGTGGTGGGGATTAGTGGCTCTGTGCAGAGAGATGAAGGACTGCTACTGCTGCTAAAATCCCCATGGGTGTCCAAGTTTGGCAAATCACTCAGAGGCTGAGAACAAGATGATTTCTCCACAAATTGCTCTGAAAAGAGGACGAAAAGAAAAGCAAGAGGCTGGTGAGAAGATTAGCCATGGTTTTGTGTGTGGAATGGTTGCAAGTAGCAGATCTGGCTGGGTGCACATAAAGCTGCAATCCCAGAGCTGTAGGCTAGACTGTGAAATTGACCAAAACTACTATAAGAAACCAATGGCAATATGCTCCCATGGAACCTACCCACCCATGGAGTACCCTTGAGTCAAGCTCCATGGAAGAGAGGTTTAATTAAATAAAGCTAAAGCAAATAGTCCCAAATGTGGCTAGATTAATCAGAAATAAAGCTGACTGATTCCAATAACAAGCCCAAAACTAGACGTGAAACTCACAAGCTTTGGGAAAAGACTTTCAAAGCCCAGAAATGAAATTGACAAATTCTAAAATGAATTCATTTGATGGAGAAATGATGCTTCAACTTTGGATATAGTTCATCATCCCCTCCCCTTTTCTCCCTTAAGAGAAGCCATTAACAATCTTTTCGAAAAGCTGAGTGCTGGAACTCCAGAAGAAATTCAGTGCTCCCGAATTTTAGGTTAGAATCTCCACAACTAAAAGAAATGGATTTGCGGTAACCTTCTGCAGAAAATGAAACAAAAGGATCCAGACCAATCATTTTAAGGCAATAAATCCACTTCAATGTCTGATAATCACAGTAGCCTTTGTAAACTTGGCTTTTAATAAAATTTGTTAGTCGGAAAAGGTACTTCCAGACTACTGATTTTTTTTCCCTAACACACCTTTCTTCTTACAATGGGAATCAACAGTACTGGAAAGGGGTGAGAAAGGGAGAAAAAAGAAAGAAAGAAAGATGTGATGGTGGGGAGATGGTTCTGCTTCTCATTTTCAATCTTGTTGATTTTGCAAGATTTTAATTCAGAAGAAAATGAGCCTCTTCTCCAAATATATTTGCATTTATAATCAGTTATAAATTATAAAAAATGCTGCCCTTTTCTTCAGAACAGGCCAATTTACAGTATTCCCCTGAATGGCAAAGTGCCAATACCAGTGAATAGAAGGATTTGTGATTATCTCCATCCCCAGTTGAAAAGTTCAAAAGGCAAAATCTGGCAGAAAATCCAGGAACTAACTGCTTAGGTAGAAGCATTCACAGGTATAGGCAATTCCTGGTTGATTTTTACCCTTGCATAGAGAAAACTAGACTGTCAGAGCAGCTACTATATCCAGTTTTCTACTTGTAGAGGGACTTGTTAATTAAACAAAGGAGCATTTACTTGGGTCAGCATTCAGTAACAAAATTCTAGAGCAATCTGAGCACCTCACAAAATGTTGGGAGGTCAGAATCATTCCAACAGGAAAGATGGCTGTTGTACATGTCCTTAATTTCAATTCTTTTGAAGGAGGAAAAAAAGATTTTTTTACATGAATTGCTCAGAAGAATTTTAGATCACACATAGCCAGTTGCAGTGTGCAGCCACTTAGCTTGTGGGAAACAACTAAAAAGTGAAAATAAGCCATCACTGATCCATTATTGATGGAGAATGGGAGTGCTGCTGATGTTAAATAATATTTTGGGAATTCCCAGGATCTTGGTCAGAAATCCCATTGATTTCATTGGGATTTGTCTTTAGGAAACTTTTGGGAAATATGTTACAAGTCTGGTTTATTCCACTGATGGTTTTACAGGCAGAGACATCCTTGTCACCAGCCCAACCTTAACTTCAGATTTCAGAGGTATATTTATGGTGTTGTTTTAAACACATTTTCTAGAGGTCAGTGACCACAATGACATTTAATTCCAATGTGTGGTGCAGATTGCAGTGTTAAATGTTTGGCCACTTCCCTGCAAAAGTGGCTGCTTGTAGAAGAGGCTTGCTCATGACAACTTAACCATTCTTGACTCACTTGATTCCAGTTTTCTGGAAACTCTGCTCAATCATAAAACAAACCAAGGTGAGTAGGTTCATGCAACCCACTAGCTGCTGATTTTGCACGAATCTACTTGCAAGATTGTTAGAAAAAAAGCAGAATGGAAAATGCTGCCCAGTACTTTAAGTTGTTAAAGGAAAATCCAGAATTAATATAGATGAATGAGCCTTGTGCAAAATAATTGCAGACACACAACCTTCCAGTCAAAATGAAACCCTTACTTAATTTTACTTTGATCTGATTTTTCTCTCATTAGGAAGAGGCGGCTGTATGAAATAGTGGTTAAAGTGAAGGATCAAGTCTGGAGAAATCCAGATTCAAATCCTGGGTTCTATGAAGAATCCCAGAAACTGACCCAGAAATTTTTAGCCAAATCTTTTGGAATTGTCCAGATAAAAAGAAAACAGAGACAATCTTGAGCTCACTGGAGGAAGGGCAGCCTACACATTCAATTAGAAGAAAAAAAAATAGAAAAAGAATTGGGGAGATTGTTTACTGAGTATGGTGGTGGAGTGGAGAGAGCAAAAAAACTCGGTCACTCCAACAATTATCAAGATGCCTAGAAGGCAGTCCACCTAGCTCAAAGCTGACAGAAACCATCTAGTCATCAGGTGAATTTAAAACTAGAAATCTCTCCCAGTCTCCCTCAAGGACAGCAAGGATCTGAAAAGGGGATGCTGCAGGAGAAGGGGGGAGTGGCTCCTGGACTAATGGGATCCATGCCGTGTAAACATTAGATGAGGTGCGTTGGTTTCCAAGTCATGGGAGTCAGAGAAACTAATGAGTGAAATGTGCAAGACAATCGTCGGCATTTTCTCATGTGTGATTTACAACTTTAACTGGCTGCAGTGGTTGGGTGATACTATAAATCACAATCAGCTTTCAGCACTCTACAAATTTAGCTGAGGTGACTTTTTCCTGAGTAGAGGCACACCAGACAGCAATTTGGAAATGTCCAGTGCCTGCAAAATATTAGGCCCACTATAAAGGGCTTCTAGAGCTATGACATCGATTAAACAGACTAATGACTAACGAAAACGGGCTGATTTTCCTGGAATCCCAAAGGCTTATTCGGATTTGTTTCGATGTTTATTCCCCAGGATCCTGCGTTTTCACAGGGCGTAGCTCCTGGGAATAAACAGCCCACAACAATTCCAGATGTTTGAAATTCGCCTTATTGGCCAAGTCCACATAAAAGCTAAATTTGCCTAATCACTGGATTCGCCAAAAGCAGGACAGTTATTGGCAGAGTGGCTTTGAAAGGAATGGGAGAAATTTTTCCTGGTCAACGGAACTTCTCTGCTATTGAGCAGATCGATTTGTGCAGGATTTTACTTTCGATGGAATTCCTCCATACGAAGAATCCACTTTTGACAGCCTGAATTAGCTGTCTTAATCAGTCCAGCATGAAATTATATTCCTCTCATACTGTTATTTACCAGGAACAAAAAATAATTCGCATGTCCCAGAAGTAAATTAATGGTAATAAAAGAACCGAGCTCATTTTTCTTGAACTCTACCAAACCAATCTAATGGATCTCAGCCTTAATTGTTGATCTTTCTTAATTGAGACTGTAAGTGGAGTCTGAAAAGCAGAAAGCCATTTCTAACCCAGAAGTTACACTAGAAAACGTCTTCACGTAATCCAAGCAATTAAGTTTAAATAAAATCTACATTGGGTCGGCATCTGCATGGGTGTGCTGCCCAGAAGATATTCAGCAGTCAGAACTCCTTATAGTAATAGGAGGAACTGGACCGGACCACTAAACCACTTAACCCAAATCTGAAGGGCAGAAATCATTGGCGCCCCTTAGAGAAATGTGGCAAATAGCTTCCTCTATGCTCATCAAATAAATATGGCAAAGCCTGGAATGTCTATTTGGCTTAACAGGATAAGGGAAGCTTGGATGGATCCAAGCGAGATTTGGAAACAACATTGTGGAACCTCATTCTTCCAGCGAGCGGTAGCTCGTAGCTAAAAAAAAAGGACTTCGTACATAGAGATCAACAGGGATGGGATATTCTGCGTTATTTGGGAGGAAGCCCAAATATTGAAATCGATGGGCAAAAGTCCGTCCCATCGACTTCAATACTTGGGCTTCCTCCCAAATAACGCAGAATATCTCCCATCTCTCATTTCCCAGCTCATTTCCCAGCCGTCCTGTGTGAAGTCTAGTAGTGGATATTAAATCAGTTCTGTGTAAGGCTCTAATGAGGATTTTGCGTCTCAATTCTGAAGTTTCTTTAATTTTTCGTTTGAAAACTGGGATGAAAGGAAAAAACATTTCTAGGAGCCGAGCCAGGAGAAAAACAGATGTGCGATCGCATTCTTTTATAGCTAAAAAAAAAATCTATTTTCTGTCTATCCTGCACTTATCAGAGCTCAAACTTCATTAAAAAAAAACTTTTCCAAAACTTCATCTCCAAGAAGATTTTAAAAAGGCAGTGTAGTTCATTAAAAGGAATGTTTTTTTCATCCATAAGTTTAGTTTATTTGATCACTTTTTAACATAAGACTGAGAGAAAGTGGTTTTTTTTCTATTTCTCTTTGAAAAATGTTTTTAATTTTTTTCTAAAATGCACTATTTTCTCCAATGATTAGGAAAGTTACTAACGAAGCAGAAGAGAGAAGCGTTTCTTTTTTGCTCAGCAATGTTTGTGAACAACTCTAAAGGCTGCTGTGTTTGCAGATTTGCTTTATTTTTTTGCAAACTTTCAAAACAAAATTATGAAAATGTTTAAAGGAAATAACTGGAGGAAATTTTGCTTTTCTTTAGGAAATCCATCGGGGCAGGGATCTATTAAACTTTGTGACTGTGTTATGAAAAGTATCGCCGGCTGATTCAGCTTCAGCCATTCTTTAAACGTTCGTATCCTGAATTTTGTACACCGTTTCAAGCAATTTCTTTTAAAGATCAAGGGGACATTTCCAAATGAAAACCTTAAGGACCTGGCAATTAACTGGCGAATTTAAAACTCCAGTCGAGAATTGTTTGAATTCAGGACTGATTGCAGTTCGGAGTCAATCTGATTATTTTAGCACCATTGTCTCAACATTAGTAAATGCAGCGATCCGTTCTATGTAGCTGCGTTCCCCCACCACCAATACAGAGCGCAAATGGAGTTCCAAGCAATTATCTGAAAATCGGTCCTTCTGAAACCAAGGATGCTTGTTGCCACAGATTGGGGCAGAACTTGTTTATTCAAATTATGGTCTGATCCTGTGCCTTCATATTTGGAAACAAGACCAATTTAAATGGGACTTTCAATGTCATTCTATCTTCCCACATCACCAGTTGAGGGAACATCAAAATGTATTGCAGATAAGTATGGATGCCATTATATCATGTTTACTTGGGGGGAGGTGGGAATGTGTCACTGATCTCCCTTACTGCAGCCTTGTACATTTCTATCTAGGAGGTTGTGTGGATCAGTAGGTCTCCCCTTCCATTGAAAAAGCAGTCAGGTCTCAGTGGAGCAGAACTTTAGCTAATTTTATAAGGCAGGAACTTCAAATAAAATGGACAAAGAAAGTAGATTTTCATCCTATTTTCTTTGGCGGCTGAGCCGTGGTGATTTTGCATAGGGCAATTACATAGGGTAATTAAAGCTTATTTCCCCATCAATTTCGACTCTTAGGAAGAGAACCCGCAAGGGCTTCTCTTCTCCGTTTTGGAATTCGGTTGGGTTTTGAAAGATAAAAACGTTGTTTCGATTTAATAAGCTCAAACAAATAACAGCTTTGAATGCTTCCTTTAAACATGAAATATTTTTACGTGTACCTAGCACAATTTAAAACCAAGGGCAGATGAATTCCTTAACAAATTCACTCAAAAAGGCAATATTCTTCAGGTACAGATTCTCTGTGTCTCTTGGGTGTTACTAAGGAAAGGTTGTGTTATGGTCGATACTCGTTAACATTCTGCTTGTTGGTGGGGATCTGAAATTTTAAATTACGGGATGAAACCGAAGCCAGTCCGCCCATCATTCCCAGTCATTATGTCTAATAGGAGCGAATCCAATATCTTTTTTGAGGGTCACAGGTTCGCTAGTTCTGCAAACATCCCTAGGTTAAGAATAAGTTCTGACCATCCCTCTTTAAAAGTTAAGCTACCAACCAAATCCAGTTGGCGTCCGTCTGCTGAGTCAAAGTCGCGAGCTCCGCAGCCGCAAACCCCTCTAGATCCCACAGAAACCCCTCTCGCATTACTTCCTCCTCAAACGCCGGGCTATCCCGAAGCTGGACTTACCCAGAGGCTTAAGGGTGTTCTCGGGGTTTTCTTTCTCTTTGGGGTTTCCGCTTGACATGAGAGCCGCGATGGAGAAGGCGTTCGCACGGGAGGAGAGCTGAGGTTTGGGTGACACGGTGTACTCCATGTCTCCGAGGCCGCGGTGCCCAGAATCGCAAAATCTAGCCAAACCCACCCTGAGTGCTCCTCCTTTTTCCTGCGACGGTGCGTCGTCAGCCCAGGGCAAAAAGGAGGAGAGCCAAGCCGGCCCGCAGAAAAGGCGGCACTGGAAGGGGCAAACCTCGAGAGCCGGGCAGGAGATGGGCGGGCAGGTTATGCGGCGCTCATCTTTTCCCTGAACCCGGAGCGTGGGTTCGAGTTGGCTGCAATGAGCGCCAGAGACAACTCAGCGGAGCAGCCAATACAAGCAGCCCCCTAGCCCCTCCGGCTTAATTTGTTGGCCGCCTAGATCCTATCGGCTGCCAGCCAATCAGCGCCTGGCCACGTCAGGACTCCTTGATCCCACCAGAGGGAAGCGAAAGAGGAAGGGAGGGGGAGGGGAAGGAGCGGGGACAGGAGCGCCCTCATCCCGGCTCTGGTTGCTACGAAACTAGCTCACGGAGCAAGATGTTTTGGACCCGAGTCAGTCAAGTCCAGCAATTGAAGGAAAGAGGTGAATCTGCTTTTTCGGAGCAGCTTTGCAGAAAATCAACTGCATTTAAGTGCCCCCCCCCCGCCCAGTAAGACTGCAATCTATTTCTCACTATCATCTATCTCTTGTGAAGTGCTTCGAAGTAAGCCCCCTTTGGATCGGTCAAACTGACTGAGGCATCAGCGACCAACTTCTTCAAGCTAAGCAGCCCCGCTGGCTTGCTCAGACCAAGTGCACTTAGACTGGGGTTTGCCGCGATATTGTAAAGCAGGGATTTCGTAGGCAAGATTTAAAATACATCTTCCTCCCATAGAAATCAACGGTGCCCCAGTCACGCCTAAGGTTTCAGTCTGAGGACCTAATTTTTGGAGGGTTTCTTCCTACCTCGTCCTACCTTTTCATCAAACACACATGCTAGCCGTGGTTTATGGAACTAACTAATGCACATATTAGGCCAACTGAATAACTATGGGTAGGTTGTAAGAAACTAGCTATAGAGGGGAATGGAGTCAGTCTTACCGAAGTCCTGGTTATGTTAGCGTTGCTTAGTTAGCCACGGTTAAGTTAGTTGCAGCTTGTATAAAAATAACTTGTCCCGACTCCTACTCAAATCGGAATGAAAGCTTTTCCTGAAGTATATTCAGAGCTTTGCTTCAAATGAGAAAAAAATGGATTCAATTGTCTCCTATAGAAAGTTCTTTTTGGGGGATGGGGGTGGGGAATGGAGGGGAAGGGGGCATTATATGATTTCATGAATCTGCATGAGTCAGTAAATACTCGGGGCTTTCTGATGGATCTCCACCACCAACTGCTTGGCCACCATATCCTGCATGCTTAGAAGTAATATTTAAGGTACAATTGAACTATAGCTTTCACTTATTAGGGGGAAAAAATGCAACGATTGACTGTTGGAAGGCTGTTGTTCCTCACCCTTTTAATTATTTTTAATGATCTCACAAAACAAAATAAGGCATCTTGGACGATTAACACTCATGTTCTGTAAAGGAACTATAATAAATAAAATGAGATTTTTTTCTGCTGCACTACCAGACAGTTTATGGATCTTCATTTCATAGAAAGTTCTTATTCCTAAATCAATTTCTTGAACATATTTGTGCGACTTCTAAGACGGCTAAACGTTTTATATCTAGTAAAATAAGAAAAAAAATTAAGCCATCTTGGTATCATTCTAACTTTCAAAGTTGTAGATAATTCCAGTCCTAGATTCCAAATTGTTTAAATTGCAACCCTTTGCACATTTATTTGAATTAGCAACCTAATGAACTCGGCAGACTTGCTTTCAAGGAGACACCAGAAAAACGCGCCATTTAAATTGTAGGGGAATCGTATGTATGTGGTTGGAAAGAATTCAGGATACCCCGAATCTTAACAAGAACACGCCTCTATTTTTGCCCACGACGTGTTACAAAGACTCGGTGTATCTTACAAACGCAAAAAACTTAATCGAGTAAACGGCAGTTGAGTTAATCGTGAGTTACAGAGCCCAGTCAATGGGTTCCCTTTTCATAAATTTTGTTGGGATCGGTCCTCTGCCTGTTTTAGAATTACGCCATTGCTTGAAAGCAGAACGGTTACCGGGATAATTTCTCTGCCTGGGTTGTCCCTACGCTAACTACGGGTCTATTGCAGCTGGCTCAAATGCTTCTCTTGCTGTTAGTGAGCCCGGTGCCTTGCAGCGCAAGAAGTGAAGGTGCCCCCTCTTTTCTTTCAACCGTCCTTCCCCTGCGCCACCTTTAACGAATAGCAGCGCTCCTGCCTTTCCCGAACTGCGTGTCTCGGAATGTATCTGGGAAACGTAGACAACTTTCTCTTGCCCCGAAAACCGATGAGCTGCAGCTAAAGCGGTCCACGCAGCAATTAAGCTTCACGCTTTGGGTTCCAACGGATTTAAAACTGTGCTTGCAACTGATAACGCACCTGTCCTTCTCCCCTTCATACTCCATTCTGACCCGAAGGTGGATTTCAAAAGGCAACTGGACTTTCTTGTTTTTTTTTTTTCCTTGAAAATATTTTGCTTTTCATCCAAGAAGCTTCTTCAGTTCGCTTCTTTGGATGAAAAGCAAAACCTTTTCAAGAAAGTCCAGTTGCCTTTTAATAAGCACCCTTGGGACAACCATGACATGGATGATTGAGAATCTCCATAGGCATCTTCTAGTTCGACTTTTCAAGGCATGAATTAGCTAGTTAGTCTTGGGGCGATAAATTATTACCAAGTACTTCAGCATTAAAGGATTGTGAAGGCTGCTTCCTAAAACAGCGCTTTTTATGGGACTTCAGCCACAAGCTGGGTGCTCAAAATCTCTCCTTCTTCCGTAAGGGGTCTTTAGCCCTTGGAAGGCAGAAAAGGAGACGCGGACTGAAATGGGCCAGTTCTTCCTTTCTCTTTGGAGGAATTTGTGATTTCCAGCAATAAATAGTTGGTCTCAAATATTTGCTGTTTTGACTTCCACAGGAATCACTTCTTCAAACTGTTACTTCCAGTGTGCTCAATCTCAAGTAATCGGGTTGAAAGACCTAGCAAGAAAACTTAAAGACTTTGGAAGCCACATCAGTAAGAAAAACCTGCCTTGCAAACTATAAATGTTTTGGTGATGCACCTGAGTATTCCTAGGGTCACTGGCTTCCATCAATAGCCTAAGTGGATCTATTTCAGTTAAAGCAGTTTTTAAAAGTAATATTAATTTAAATAAGAAGGATGTGTTTTATGACAAAGCCATTGACTGTGTTCACATATCAATGTATCCAATTATTTCTTTCAGTCCTGATTTGTTTACTAAACAGTTGTCTAGGTTGGGATTATATTAGCCCTAAAACTATAGCTGAGTAAAATATAATAGGTGAATTCAACCAGCACATTAAATCAAATCCTGCTGAACCACATTATAGTGATGTGACCCCACCAATGATGGAATTATTATTATTATTATTATTATTATTAGCCAATGTTGAGCTAAAATCCTATAAATCTCATCCACTGAAATGAGTTGGCCATATTTTTTATAGTACAATGCATCTGCCTTATGTGCAATGAAAAACACATCTGCCAAGCAAGAGGCAGATCTCACTTGTCAGAATAATGCCAGCCTTATTGGCTTTAGTAAATAGAACACCAAAAATTGTATTCTTGTATGAAGTAGGATCTCCAGAACTCCCCTGTTCAGACATTGCTGGACTTTCCTTATATAGGCAAGGAGGCCTCTGGAAAAGGAAAACAAGGATAAAGCCACCCTTGCCCCCTAAGGAAGTATTGCAGGCAGCTAGTCCCTTGCACTTCATTTGGAATCTGTTGAAGCACTTGATAGTAGAAACTGAACGTGTCTAGCAAATTGCACATATCCATGCCTTCAACTCAGCTAGTTGGAGGTGTCAGTTCATCTGGGTGGCAAGAGTTCTTCAGGATTACTTCGTATTCCCTGTTTTGTGGGTGACAATCGCATTTTCCAGTGCACTTTAGTTCTGATCAATATTGTGATCCAAATGGAGATGTTTCTGGACTTGCATTTAATCCACTTACATAGACAGAAATAGTGATACATGCCAACTTTGCTATTCTAAAACATTACAGTTTGGACAGGATCCTCCAATGCCACTTCAGTCTTTTAACAGGTGTGCAACAAATATCGTTTTTTCCCAAGCCTGCAATCTTCCCCATGTATTTGGACTACAGTTCCCAGGATATCGAGGCAGCAACTGGTCATATTGCAACTATCATCTAAACATCCAACATTTGGGGTATATTTTACCTCTGCTGAGCTTTCCACCTTCCCATCCATTGCCTTGCATCTGGCTCTACACATTATGCAGAACTCTTAATTGTTTTGACCTTATACATTTTCATTAATATTTTTATATGCCTGCAATCTTCAAGGCATTGTGGGATTTTTTATAACATACTGCACAACAAATTGTCATGTTACCATAGGATGTTATGAGAACTTAGAACACTTCCTTGATTAGCTTCTGGTTCAGTGGGAACACTAAAGATCAGACTGAATTAACCAGATAAAAGTGCCAGATACTAATTTTTTAAAACATGGATAGCAAGGAGCATACCAAAGTGAAGCAGAAGTTGGGGATAATAATGACCCTCCTTTTAAATGTTTTTCCTGTTTTACTATTCTCAACTTCACAGAATCCGATTCTTTATTTGGTGTATTAACTAAATGCCTCTCCCACTTCTCCGTTATTGTTAACCATCCAGTTTGCCTCCTCTTAGTCAACATGACTGTTTTGTGTCTAATGGTGTTACTTATCACAGAATGAAAGCAAAGAAACAGGATTAAGGAGAATCTGCTGAATGTGTCTGAAATTCTATTTTCTTGTCATGATGTTAAATTTTGGGATTTGAAAAACTAAAAAAAAAAAAAGATGAGAGAGACATTTTTTTGTGAACTGCTTCAGATCATAACCACGTCCTCTTTTTTGGGGATTTAAGCAAATATAATCTTTATTATGGTCATAAACCAGCAAAACAAATGCATGAAAAATATTGTCCACTTTCCTCTCCTTCCATACTAGGAAGTTTGGGAGCTGAAGTACACCTCATCCAAGCATTACTAGATGTAGCTGGGCAAGTTATATCAACCCCAATAGTTGGCAATACCAATAGTTGGCAATACTGGTCAGGGATTGTGAAAATTGAGATCTTTGTATCCTTTAAGTGAGATTTCCCCCCCCCCCCATTCAAAGTAGATGTATTATGCTGAAACCTTTCAGGAAGAAAAAAATATGTGTAAGGACTGGCTGAAATTTCCTCCTACCAGAGTACCCTTCC